GACCAAATACGGTTAAGTACTGCACCTATCAGATCAGTGTCCCAGCGACATAAATTGTATGGCTGCTCACTTCATCAAAGTCGTTCTCGACACCGCAACCACCGCCATACCGAGAAAGACCTGCTGACCACGACGTCCTCGTGTACTCAGGAGGAACGTAAACTGCACCACCACTGTTCATGAGCGGAAACGAGCGTTGTCTAGGCTTAATAGGTTCCATAAATTGAAAACTTAATTGAATGAAAGAGGTGTAGAGCCAGGACAGAACAGTAATACGCGAAAGCAAAACAACGCCCTCGAGAGCCCATCTTCTCTCTCGAGCTGTACTCCTTCTAGAGCGGTATGGCGAAAGGTCCATCAAAAGGAGGAAGACTTCCTCCTCCGAACATTCTGAGTTGCTGGTGAACGGAAATGTGATCACCTTCCCTGCAGATATAGCAGAGAAACTGGCTTCTCACTATGAGAACATCTCCAGATCCTCTCAATATTATGCAGTGTTCTCATTTATAAGAGGAGATGGGGAAAAATACACTGGACTTTTCTAGTAACAGAGGAGAGAAATATAACACCCCCTGTTCCATGGAAGAATTATTGTCTGCGCTGCTCACCGACTCTGCTCCAGGAACTCGCCAAATTCACAACCAAATGCTAGAACACCTACCCGAGAAAGCGCGATCGTTCCTCCTTAACTTCTTCAAACGCATTTGGAATGAACACATCGTTCCTGACTTTTGGCACGAGGATCTTGTAATCCCTATTCCTAGGGAAGAAAAGGATTGATTGATTCCTTTGAGTTATCGACCAATTTCGCTTACGAGCTGTATTTGTGAGCTATTGGGGCGAATTGTTAACTGACGTCTGGACTGGCTCCTAGAGCAAAGCCATTTTTTAACACCAGTACAGTATGGCTTCAGGAAGCATCGATCTACTTTTGATCACTTGGTCACTGTTGCTTCACAGATATCCATTTCGATTGGATTACAACACCTTGTAACCGCCTTTTTTTACATTGAGAAATACTATGATACGACCTGGACGCCTGGTATACACTTTGCACGCTTGGGGACTTAGAGCTCTCTCTGTTCCTTATGAACTTCCTCTCTTCAAGATCTTTTTGGGGATGGAAAACTATCATCCAGTCACCCTTTGGATAATGGAGTTCCTCAAGGGTCAGTTCTGATCGCCCCTCTGTTTGCCATTGCAATTAACGACATAGCAACAGTTGTACAAGAGCCTGTAAAAGCATCGCTTTTTGTTGATAATTTTGCCATTTACAGCTCATTAAAATGCATGAACATCAGCCAAAGGCGACTACAACTAGTCCTGAATAGACTTCACGAAAGGAGCACAAAAACAGGATTTACGTTCTCATGCTCAAAATCAAAGTGCACTCATTTCTGCAGGATATATCACCTCTGTATCCCCCAGAGACGTTCCTTGGAAACCACTGACTCCCGTTTCTTGACACAGCTGCCTTTCTTGGTCCGTAGTTCGACAAAAGCCTGACATGGCCAAAACAAGTCTGCAACCTGCAGAACCAATGTGTATCACCATTTAACCTACTTCGCAACCTCAGTGGCACATGAAGGGATGCTGATCGAAATGTGTCTTACGGTTTTATTGGACACTTATTCAATCTATGGCAGCATTGTATACGGCTTTGTATCGCCTTCAAGTTAACAATCTCTCAATACTATTCACCATGCCGGAATCCGCATCAGCACAGGTGGCTATCATATGAGCCTTATGAAGTCTCTTGACCGAAGCTGGAGAACCGTTTCTCGGTTCTTAGCCGAAGACGGGAGATTTTAATCTGTTCATACTGTGTAAAAGTGTCAAAGCTGGTTGGTCCATCTCGGCGAGCATTTTTACACCTGGGTTCCAAACATATTTATTCAGACCATCGTTACGTAACCACATGGTTTCCCCATTTGCACTTCATTGTGGGAGCTTAACCTCAAACTTCCTGTGCCTGCGAAACCTCCCAAAAATCTGATTCCTCTTTGGAAACTTCTCTGACCCCTAAGAGAGTTCAGCTTATCCAATCTCCCTAAAACAAACTTTGCTCATGGTATATCTAAAAATGTTATCTTTCTAAGTAGTATTATTCGGCGTTGCTAAAATCATAAAGGTAATGTCCCATTCATCTTTGTGGAAACGTAAATGTGCATTGTTTTGTAATAGGCACTGACCGTAACTGAGTAATGTGTGTCATAATCATACTTGAGACGTGTTATGAGTTTGCACTGAAAAGAGTGAATTGAATTAGTGTCATGTTTTACACATCTAAGAAAAGATAATTTTTTAAATTGTTTGCTTTCTCTGAAGTATAGCTCAAAATGATGCAGAGTAGCTAAGACATTAATTCATTGCAACCTCCAAATTACATCTTGAAGTACGAAAGCATAATTTTCTGAAAATATCACACTGGACAGTTAATATTATCCCGTGTCATAAGTTAATATTGCATTTTTTATCCTTTAGTATTTTATTTACTATTTTTCTTAACATTTGCATCTCTGATACTTCCTTCATTTGACATATTTTCTTGGAGTCTGTTCTGCAGCATCTAAGCTTCTTTTTTTAACTTATGGGTTATACCATATTGAGTGGTTGACACAGCCTACTATTCTATTAGTTTTTATAAGTGCCTTACTTGGAGGTCTACCATCACTGGTTATCACCATTCCTAATTATTTTTTTTACATCACTTGTTCTATTGAGTGTTCTTTCACAGATAATATCATCTGCATAGCAGACAGAGTATATTATGAGGTCCAAAATGATATCCTTTTTTATTAGCAAGGTCTCTTAAAATGTATTTCATTACTATGTTACAGTGTCGGGTTTACTGAGTCTCCCTGTCTAATTCCTTGGGTTCTTTCTATGACTTGAGATATTTGTTAATTACTTTGATTTTGTTATTTGTTTATATATCCACTATAACTTTAATAAGGTTGCACGGAATGTTTTCTTTCTTTAATAATCTAACCACTATAAAGACGACTCCACACATGTAGCATTCGGCGAATGCTGAGTAGTGTGGACAGGTTACTTGTGATTTGCAGTGTCGAACATTCGGTTTTGCCTATCCACTGCATGTCGGCCTTTAGGACACATCAAAGAGAACGAACTTTCGCCTAACACATCAGCTGTTCAGGATTGGGTTAGCACTAGCTTGCCGCTCGAGGAATACCTTAAGACGTATGGTATCAAATGCCTCCTGTAGGTCTACAAACCACATATATGCAGGTTTATTGAATTCCAGAGATATCTCAATAATTCGTCTGATGATGGAAGATCACATCATTTACATTATCTTGCTTTTCAAAAACCTTTTTTCTCTCTCTATTCTGTTAAGCCTTCCAATACCTTGTGATAGTTTTTATTGTTAGCTTGAGAGTTGTATTAAGAAGATTGATTGCTCTATAGTTATTCGGGTCTAACTTATCTCCTTTTTTAAAAAGGATTAGAATGCTAGTTTTCCATTCCTCAGGTATTCTGCTATTTTTATATTTGCTTTCTGTAAGCTTGACTAATTCTTTGTCCTCCATATTTCAATAATTCATTATATGTCATCCTCTTCAGGTGACTTTCTATTTTTTAATTTAGGCATTGTTTGGAGTATATTTCTTGGGAACCTCAAACTCTTGTGTGAATGTGTCGACAATAGTCAGTGTTGGGAGTTCATCTCTATGGAACTGTTTACTAAGTATTCCATCCATACCTTATTACTGATATTTGTTGTACTTCTTAATCCTTTTGTTTCAGATCATGCATACCTTACAAAATACTACATTCTATTTCTTATTACATAGTCTATCATAGATCATCCTATGGTATTTTGCCATATGTATTTATATTGATCCTTATGGTCAAAGAAGGTATTATTTATTCTTAATTCATTGTCTTGGCAAAACTCTTAAGAGCATTTTTCCACTTTCGTTCAGGGATGCTTCATTAAATCTTTTTTTGATGCCAGGTATAACATAATTTCCAATTCTTGCATTAGTCACCTGCGATTACTATTAATTCCTCTGGACTTAGGTTTGGGACTTCCTGAAGGTCTTCATAGAATGTTTGCCATTCATGTAGATGCTTATTATTCTCAAGGGCATAAACTGATATTATATTTACAGTCTTGCTCTTAATTTCATGTAACAATTCTTTCTGATTTATACTTTTAGTCTACTATCTTATCTAGATGTTTGTTGTTTATTATGATTCCTACTGCTTCCTTTGCTTTGGAGAATTTCTACACTCCACTGTAAACAAGTGTATAATTATGTAATTGTTTTATCCCCTTATCTTTTTTCTTTGTTTCTGAGAGGCAACATATATCTAAGTTGTCTGTCAAGTTCCATTAAAATTTCATCATTACTAGTATTCCATGATCTAATGTTCCATGCACTCTATGTCAGTATGTTTCCCCTTTTCCATGTCGTCTTCATCTTATTGTTGTCAGCTATGACGCGTATCCTTTGTACCATGAGCATTCCAATTTTTTCACATCGGGCAGGTAGCTAGCTTCACCCTCATAACCCTCCTTTATGCATTCTTGGGTCCCGCGACAGCATTGCTGAGCTACTTGATTCATCCAGCAAACAGCAACCGCAGAATTACATATTTTGCAATATGTTTAATTACTCTTGTAGGAATATAATCTATACCTGCTGAATTCTTGGTATTCAGTCTTTATAATCTTTTCGTTCATGATTATGAAGGGAATATAAATAAGAAATCTACAATCTAAGCATTGTTAGAGTATCAATCTCAAGTTAACTTGCCGTTTTTGGCCCTATTTCTACAAAGCTCTGTGTGTGCGTGGGCGCGTGTGCTGGCGCAGTCGCGTTTTCTGGATGTGGGATTAAATGGATTTTCTGGATGCGGCCAATAAAACAGAACACATTTAATGGACAATTAAGATGATTATGAGGATGGATATGAGCATGTACACGAATGGTTACATAGAATTGACATTATTTTTCTTTGTGTCTAAGGTGACAGGTCCTATTCCTGCCATAAAAAATCCCAAGAAGATCCCAAATAGTTCGACACAAAGAATACAAATCCCGTAAAATTTTTTGTAATTCAGGAGTTCCC